TAATAGGTTTTGTGAAACTGGTCGTTGGCTATTCGCGTCTCGATTTGGTCCGGAATACAGATATTGTCGAGAGCCTTGGTGTACAGCCGCTGCCGTACCAGATTGAGAAGTCTTTTGCTGTGATGGTTTCGGCACGCGGTGCGAATGCCTGCAGAAAGGAAGGTGAAGCAACACTTCTTGCCCAGTCGACCGGCAGAAGACCTAAAGAACGGCCAGTGTATCGAAGAACTGTACTCCAGATTCAGGTTATCTTCCGCCAGATTTTAACGCTGTCACTGAATCGAGAACATTGAAGACACTGACTGGCATGTCTGCATTCGTAATTCATGAGGATGAACATTCATCGAAAGTGACTGACTGAATGACACTTCCTAGCCATAATAAAAACAGCTCAAACCGGTTTTTACTTAGCAATGAAGGTAAGGTAGAAACGGTAAACTTAAAGTTCAATGATAAAGGAAGGCTTGTTTTGAGATAATGTCTGAATCTGTCTTAATTACGAAAAGCCTACGACTCAGGTAAAAAGCTACAGTTAAAAGATGAGAAAGGTTGAAGATGGGAGTTCAAGATGGAAGTTCAGCACTATACGTCATAAGAAGAATGGGCAGAGAAAGGTAAACTAATGATGAGACGTAAATCGAATGACTGCATGATCACACGAATGCACTAGTAAGCTTTTGACAGGGTACAGAAAAAACCAGAATGCTTGTTGAATATTTGCAGTGTATGAATTGCAGGACTTCATCGTATCAAAATATGGTTTTGGAAGATGCTGTACGATGGCACGAGACGGGTAAAAAAATGGTGTTGGTTGACGCATCGAAAGTAACATTCGAACGGAAGTACACCAGCAGTAAAATAACTTAATCAGATTGCTAAGCCTTAAGTTATAAATTGCCAGTACGTTGAATCAGGGAAAGCTTTTTTAATTTGCGTTTTGGACATTCCGTCGATACAGTTGTAACAGAAGCTACAAGGCTGTGCTCGTTTAGGCGCTGCATCTCTTGTATACTTCTGTTAACAAGCAGATCGCGGCTTGTAGGATTGTGTCGTCAACGGCGCCTCAATCGTAATAACTCTGGCCGTTACAACAGCGATAACTCCCTGATATTCCATTCGACAAGGCCGGCCCATTTGCTGTAAAGAGCTTTTCGCACAATGGCTCCAAGGTTAGTAAAGTATGTTCCACTTTGCCTCTTTTAGAAATGTAAATTTTCGATTTAATTTGGATGCTTTTAATTTACGTTTACGCGTTACAACGATTTTTAATCAGTGTATTCAGTATCAGGCGTGTCTAGGCGAATCGCAGCTGTAAAGGACACGCATCTCATATCATGGCTGTATGTTTGGCACGCTTTGGTGTGACCTAACCTGACCACCATGCCTTCCCTATTTTACATCGGTCAATAACCTGTTGCCTGTTCCTCGCCGTGTTGCAGCGAGGCACAGATGGGTGAATTTCTTGCTCTAAGCAACTGGCAGTAAATCATAGGAAATGTACGCCGCGCGTTGTGGAACTTGAACGACTCACCTGTAATTGCAAAGCAAACTGTTGCCTCACTGCGCCTCTGCCGTCCACAATATGCGCTTGTTCGCATTTTGTTGATCCATTTAACAAAATATGTCCCTCCGCATTCAGAATTTTCACACTTACCCTATTTTGTTTGTCCATTGTGACATGGCGTTGCAGTTATACTGCGTTAGGTTTTGAATTGACCTTGCTTGTATGGCTCATGCCTGTTTCCGAAAAGTTTGAATTTCGTGTTATTTAACCTTGGGATTAAAGACTGACAGCTAACTTAAATAATCATTCCAGACCCGGTTTACTGAAGCCCTATATTGGATAAACGCTTTAACCTCGTTTGCATTCCTCAGCCCTCCTGATCCGCTTTCAGATTATTGGCTGCCATTCTGCCTTGCTCTCTTGTCAATATTTAACGGCTGCTTGGCTGAAAACTAAAAATCGAAACAAATCCGATGCGATTTCGAGATCAGTCAATACGCGTCCAAAGTAAACTCTTCTTTCCATTACATGCCACTTTCGCCTGTATCAGTGAACCTCCAACAAAAAATGAGCATCTTTCATCGTCGCTCTAATATTCTTTAGATGTTCGGTGGTTTCTACATTTTTTGACTGCTGTAATTTGATTTTGTTTGTACTTTTACTCAGACTTATGTTGGGTCGCAAAGTTTTGTCGTCATATAGCTTGTAGATATTTTTTCGTTTTTTTCTGTTCCCTTAACCGATTGCATGACGTATTAGACAAGTTGAAATTTTATTTTTATGAGACGAAGCTCGTCCTGCTAAAATTATTCGCGCCTTCATTGTTGTAGTATTAAATATTGAAATCGATTTATTTACTTTAACTTTCTTTCAGCAACGAATCGCATCGCATGACTCATCTGTTTACTCATTACGTCGTTCATCTAATTCATTTTTATTACTCAGCGCTGAAGACAGCACTCTACTACTAATTATTTTAACATACTTCAGTTTGCAACTGCACTGAATGGTTTACTTACAGTTAAGTTATTTCTTATTTTTTTCATGATTTGCTAAAATCACTACCATCCAGATTCAAACGTCATCTTATTCCTACAGAATCTAAAAGATATGTCTTTTATACGATAAATGCAGAAAAATCTGTATTTCCGTGTACAGTGCAGATATTCACACACGGAAACCGCTTCACGATATTTTGAAATAATTTACCTAGTTTAAGGTGGTGCCATCTCTCGTTTAACTGTGTATGCACCTTACCGCGTTTCCATGTGCAGAATTAACTGCTGCTACATAAATTCAGGGCATACTCTCATGTAGTCACGGCACTTCAACAACTCTGATAATATTTTAAAACTGATTGATCACAGCATGTTGAACTGTGTTTTACGACGATTATCTATTAAGTTATGAAGATTCAGCCTAACATTCTTAGAGTTACATTTTGAAAACAGAGCTGTCGATGTGTCGGTTTAGTTTTATTGTGCCATCATATTCACTTCGTTGTGTTCAGCAGACACTAACGAAAATTCGCCGTTGGTGCACTAAGGAATAATTGTCCCCACAAACTTGACTTCTGCTGATTCGCACACAAGGGATTGCATGAACAAACAGTATTGTGTAATTTTCTCCCGTCACTTCAATAAAACCCTTTTACTACATTTTTTGTTTTCAGAGTGTGATTTTGCCAAAGGCAGAAATGGCGTAATTTTTCTGGCATTGCTTTCATCTGTTTCTCCTTCCCCATATGCTCATTTTAAAAGTTTCACCATTTTGTAATTAATCTGGAAGCTTTGTGTTGTTCGTAATATCCTCTGCTGAATTTAGCCCAAGAATAGATTGTCATTCTCGCTCTTTTGCCATTGACGATTGACTGTAAGGAAGCAGCTTCTGCGAGGAATGCGTCTGGTTCTCTTCGACTATGCGGACTACAGGGTAAACTGTACCATGGTAGTCGATTGGTAATAGAATTCCAATATAACAGGTTAACTGAAAATTGTCTGTTGGTTTGATTTCAGTGTGGAACGACGATCTTTTTAACGTTTCTGGTTTTACTTATTTCAGAAACTTCGTTGTAATAATGGATGTAAAGAATGATTCTTGTTCTACTCTCTGTGATGCACTGATGATTATTTTCAAGCCTTTCAGATGAACTTTCTCTCGTTAACCTTCACCATTTCATTTTGAACGCATTGTTTATGCACTGACTGAAGCGTATAAAGACAGTATTTTTTGTTACTCCACTGGTCTCTAGGACTCCTTTCAAACATTGATTTTTTGCAAGAACTAGGCAAACTCTGTTGAAATGAGTCTTGACCATTCTTTGTCCATACAGTCAAAATTACGGAAGTTAAATAGAGCTGTCATTCGCTTGCTTCTCGTTGATTTATGCAATTACTGCCGGGTTGGTAGTACGCAAAAACGAGTCGACTTCTACCTGTTGCTTTCGGTTTGTGATTTGCTTGGCACACAGAGATCGTTGTTTTACCATCACTCTTCTCGACTTTAAACATACTTTATTTATCACTTCAATGTTGTTCTTCAAATAAAATGTTAAACCCGTTGTTTCACCTGGTTTGTATCCGTTTAGAACATCCGTTGAAAATAGGGCACTGTAGTATTTTTACTGGCTGTCTAGTTTAGGAAGTATGGCACCATTGTTGTGACACGATGTTCGGTATTTCCATTATCTCTGTTGCACACAAAGTGACTAAGGACTATCGGAGCTGTCGTTCGCAAATCATTTTTCTTTCACTGTATTATAAACTAAGCCAAAGCTATTTATTCCATTAATGGAAATGCCATTCTGAGCCACTTTTCATGCCAGACGTCATTGAATCACGCTTCCTGTTAAACTGAGAAATCCATTTGCACCGACGCTACACCAGCTTATTATCGCGGGTATTTCGATCAAGTGTTCTTTTGAATTTTTCGAAGCATTTGCCGAGTCATGGACTTGATATTGCTTAAACGCTAAAGAGGTAGTACGTTTTTACTTGGAGTTACTCTAGCAGCGGAATCGAGCATATTCATCGATGGATTCGGCTCAGGCACAGTAGTCATTTTTTGTCGTTTGTTTTTCTGGTCAGTTTTAATATGTAAATGACTCTGTGAGGGCTCCTTGCCGCCACCGCCACAAGTGATGTTATGTTCCCCATCTATTTTTTTTCTGAATTCTCTGATTCAAAATTACAAAAGTAACAATACGAACAGCATGGTGTTCTTTGCTATGCCAGATATGGTCTTGTCGTTGGCCTGATGTCCGATGCTTACTCATTTGCAATTTGCGTTTACTGACCAAAAATCAGCGCAAGTTGTAAATTTTAAAACCCAATCATGCCGGACGAAGAGTTGATGAACTATCATTTTCAGAGTAAAGTACGTCTGAAATGTTTCCAACTGTAAATCACTATTGGCGCAAGTATTTTGTCTTGGACCTACTTGCTATTCTGCTGTCCTTTTCTGTTGACTTTCAATTTCCGTGCTAGGCAATGTTTCAACTGAAACTCACAAGTGCTTTCAATTCTATTCCTTTTCCGCACTAAATATTTTGACCGTTTTCTCGTTTTTTCCACTGCTTTCATCTCAACATTCTAAATTTTGGCATTTTTTTCAGTGAACTTTTGACCCTTCTGTTCTACGCTGTTAATTTCAGATTCATTCCTCCCTGTCTCATTGTTTAATCCAAGCGTCACTTTTCTTTTCATTCTACTAATAAGCACTTTCGTAAATATTTTCATTGATCCCGTGTCTCATTTTTGCAGTTTTATTCGTCAATTTTATACTCTGTTCTCCTGATAGTGTAATCGATTTACTTAAATTCCTTGGTAAGATTGAATGGCACGTAGGTTTTCTGTAATTAATTATACTTCATTCTGAAAGTTTTTCTTTGTTTAACGGAGTTATGACTTTGCACCAAAGCCAAAAAAAGTCATGCAGTATTTCTGCACTCGAGCAGAATGTATGCGTCGCTGAGCCAGTTTTTCAAATTTAATTTTTTCGCAAATGCGAGAACTAGCTTATGAATATACGTATCAGGTATTAGGTGCTTGTTTTTACTCCAGATTCGTGTTTCAACCTAGCCGGAACGGGTTGTTCAGGTCTAACTTACTACGTCTTTGCTCTTTACCGTAATATGATGCCTTTCGTTCGAATGCACCATGGTGGAATATTCGGAAATGCGTATTGGGTGTCTGATCTGGCAGTTTCAGAGATTATACCTATTTCGGCAGCTATTCTAAAACCTTAGTTGCTGACTCTGTATTGCTTCTGTCGTACAACATTCTCTGTCGCTGCACTAAGGTATAATCATGCCCTTAGTATGCTTTTGAGATTCAAGATGTTTAAACTGATCTTCATATACAGAAAACTAGGTAGAAATTTGTTACCGATATGTGATTCTTCCTTCGAAACAGTATTGTTCCACTGCCATCATTTCTTATGTAAGTTGACAGGATTTATTTAAAGTTGTAAATGATACTAAAGCACGGTAAAAGACTTTACAAGCACTTAACCATTAGTCAGCTTCACGGAAGACAGAGACGGCAGATTTTGATTCCACTTTGAATATTTCGATTATGTTAAGGAGT